TTTCTGAACAAAGGCTGTCGGTTAAAATGATAAGCCAGCTTTCAGTTGTCTATAATGCCTTTTGCGAGTGTATTTTGGCCATTTAGGAGATTTAATAAAATAAGCAGGAAACGTGGTTTTATTGTCCAGCTGTTAAGAACAGAAGTTACTGTGTTTTGGAGCATTCCTTGGACTTGGTTAATTGTAAGGTTCGAGTAAAACTTATGCCCGTTTCCATGCTGTCTGTGTGTGTCCTGTTGTCTCACCTGATGTCAGAGCTAATACCTTGTGAAAGGCACCTACTTCCCAGTCAGAGGGCTTTGAACCGCGTTCATTCCAGTAACCTGAGTGAAAATACCACTTACTGGTACCTCTTCAAGTTAAAATGCATAACTAGATTCCGTGTGAAAATTTCTTGCTCTACATGCAAAACAGTAACTAGTCCTGTAAGTTTAATGGTTCAGTTGCTTTCATTTTTCCAAACATTAAAGGCAATTAGACAAGCACATTAGTTTCACTTCTACGGAGTACTAGTCACTGGTGTGTTAAGTATTATTCCCAAAATTGATACAGATATTTAGACTGCAAGCTTTTATTAATATTCAGGAGGGAATAAACTGAGCAACTTATAAATGCCTAAAATAATAGGCTATCATGGAAATGTTGGCAAGCTGATGGTGCAAATATGTGACTAGAAATGAATCATATAAAATCCATAGCCAAAACTACGTGTAAATGGCCCTATTTTGCCATCACTTATGTGGCACTTAGGTTTCACAGAACATTTTGGCATTTCATACAAGTATGTCATAGAATTTATATGAAAATTGTGTTCTGTCCTTCCAAAAACAGCACACAGCTCAGCAGACTGGCAGGCATGAAAGGGGCTGAATTCCTAGAAATAGGGTGGAGATCAAGTGGAAGGAGCCAAAACAAGCAACTTCAGCATAGTCTTCTCTTCCAAAAAAGAACAGAAGCCAAAAGAGGAGGGCAGATTCAGTGTGTGCCACCATTTAGACACGTTGTCTTAAACTCTTTAGTTTTGGCACATTTAGATCTTTTACCTCAATTAATGCTAATCATAATAATTCGTAGAAATCACAGGACGTGGGAGTTATAAATGCCTAGACTGATAGATTTTTCTAATATACACAATTTTTAAAAAATTGGCACCATTTTCTGTAATAGTGTACTCCATTTTTATACAATCATAATTCCAATCTGTAATTCTTAACAATGCAATGTTTACTGCCTGAGTACAGCTCCCAATCTTATTACTAGATGTACATGTCTTGAGGCTGTAGTTCTCTTCCGGGACCTAAAAGATCTGGATTTCATTCCTAGTTTACTTCCTATGTG